GAATGAATGAACGAATCTTGACCATATCTCTAATGAAAACCAGGCACTGTGTTAAGTGTTTTTACAAAACATTTTCACGTGCCCCCAAATTGGCCCTATCACAGAACTAGGCACACGTCGCGGGAAGGTGGACCCTCTGCTGCCTCAGCTTTCACAGGAACAAAACACACCATCTCAGGACAGAAAAGCTAGGGCTGGGAACAAGAGGAGAGGGCATAGCCTGGAGGAGAGACGCCCTGGGGGGCCAAGTGTTGAAGACTTTTTTAAAAAGAGACAAACTTCTGGTTATATGCAGATGCTGTGATTGTTTACACATAAAATGTGAGATAATCTACCAACAAACTTTCAGAACTATTAAGAATGTTCACAAGGTTTCTCAAAACAAGATCAACATGCAAAAGCCATCAACATTCCTTTACATCAGCAATAAGCAATTAGATTAGAAAATGCCATAGAAAAAAAGATCCTATTCTCCATAGCAACAAAAACTAATAAATCTAATAAAAGATACACAAAATCTTTATTGAAGGACAAAAAAGGGCAGAAGAAATAGAGAGGTAGATCCTGTTTATAAATGGGAAGACGTTATTTCAATCAAAATCCCAACAGAGCTTTTCACGTGGGGAAGAACAGGGGTCAAGAATAATAGAGGTAATATTTGAAGAAGAAATTGGAAGAGGAGAAGGAGAAGGATTGCCTTATATGATGTACCCCTTATTGTAAGGCTATAGTGACTAAAACTGTGTGATTTGGTGCAGAAACAGACAAATTTGCCAGGGGAAGAGAAGAGAGACTCCAGGACAGATTCTTAAGAATCCAGGAACTTGAATAAGCCAGAGACAGCATTTCAAACAAGTGTGGAAAGGGCTGCTTATAGATGGTGTTGGATAATTGGTTTCCACATGGCAAAACAACTAAAAACTTAGATTTCTACCTCAAACTAGCCACAAAACAAATTCCAGATGGATTAACCTAAATATGAAAGAGCAACACTTTAAAGCTTTTGAAAGAAAATACAGATGAAATCATTGTAACAAAGCAAAGATATTAAAAAACACATTTGTTAGAGGAAAAGATTGATACATTTGCATTAGAACGGAAATTTTCTGAATGACAAAAGACATCATGAAATAAAATGACAAGCCATGGAGTGGAATAAGATAGTTGCAATGTCTATAACTAACAAATGATTAGTGTGCAGACTATATGAAGAACATCTACAAGCTAAGGAGAAAAAGACAATGGTAGAAAAAACAGGAAAAGATCATATGAACAGGCAGGCAAGTTACAGAAGGGAAACAATAAGTGGTCAATAGATACATAGAGATGCTTAACATCACTGGTAATCAGGATATGCAGATTAAATAAGCAAAATAAAATGAGATAATTTCACATTTATTAGAGTGACAACACTTTGAAGTCTGACAGTGGGGAATTAGAACTCGTATAAGCTGCTAGTGGTTAAATTGATACAACCTCTTTGGAGAATAATTTAGCCAAGTCTGGTAAGGTTAATGTGACGCGTACCCTAGGGAAACATTCCACGTGGGCATGGGAGACACGAACAAGGATGCTCAGCGCAGTATTGTTTATAACAACAAAAACTTGGCCATGTCCATCAACAGAATGGCTAAATGACCCGTGCTATAGTCTTAATGGAGTATATACTGAAAGAGGTAAAGAGCCTTGAAGAATGTCAGGAGATCGAGTCCTGGGTCTTTCGCTTCTAACTGATGGTGGGATGTTACACAGTCACTGGTCCCTCTTCATAGAATGATCTCCCCAGATACTCTCGTGGCTCACTCCCTCACCTCTTTCAGGTCTGTGTGCAAATTCCACCTGCTCAGATAGGCTTCCCTGACCCCATTATTTATACAACTAGCGTCCGCACTCCTTGACACTGCTTTGTCAAGAAGCAGAGTGGTTTCAACGGCAAGTGTGTAGACTCTGGCCAGACTGGGTTCAAATCCCAGCTTTACCAAGTACTGTTTGTATGACCTTAGGCAAGTTATTTAAGCTTTCTGTGACTCAGTTTCCTCCTCTGTAAAATGGAGATATAATAGTTTTCACCTCAGAGGGTTGTTGAGAGGACTGAATGAGTCAATATGCCAAAGACTTAGAACAGTGCCTGACAGGAAGGAAGTGCTGGTTAAGAGTAAATTACATGGCAGTTAAAATGAATGCAATAGACCAGAATGATGTAGAAAAATCTCATAACACACCGCTGAGAGAAAAGAGCAAGTCCCACGTGCACCTCACCCTCCCCTGAACTCCTCTCCTAGTCACGGGCAGCTCACGGTCCAGTCCTTGGTTACACCCGCAGTCACGTGTCCTTCTCATGGTTTTAGTTCCCCTCCCCTGCTGTCTGAGCTGGTTACAGCCTGGCCAAGTAGGTTTTTGACGGTACTTATTGAACTGGTTGCACTGAATTAATTCTGAAAAGTCCTTAAATGCCAGAAGATGAAGACACCATTGACTCTCTCAGGTGGTGTATTTTAAGATGTTGAAATAAAGACATGAGGAGAGTGGGCGCAATGGAGCAGGGGAGCGACACAGATACCCAGAAAGGGAGAGAATTCCAGAGGCAAGGGGTCTCCAAGGGCAGGAATTCTGTGACTCCAGGACGAGGGAGTGGGGGCTCTCACCTCAGCCCCTTTATGAAGGCCTGTCCTAGGGTCCTCTGTGTGACTGAAGCATTACTCTACATTCACAGAGGATTCTGTGTATGAGAAAAGATCTAGAAGGATCCAAGCAGAGTCTTTAGCGCTGGCTACAGGAGGGAGAGTGGGATGGGGGACAAGTGGGGTGAGTGGAGGCTTTTTAAAAAACTCTACATACTTTTGCATTATTTGAATTTTGTGTAGCGAGAAAGAATTTATTACTTGTGAAATATTAGAAAGAAAAAAATTATCTTGCACATAGGGGTACTCAGTGAATGGACATTACTATTATTCTTTTTTGTGTGTGTGTGAGGAAGATCAGCCCTGAGCTAACATCCATGCTAATCCTCCTCTTTTTGCTGAGAAAGATCGGCTCTGAGCTAACATCTATTGCCAATCCTCCTCCTTTTTTTTTTTCCCCCAAAGCCCCAGTAGATAGTTGTATGTCATAGTCGCACATCCTTCTAGTTGCTGTATGTGGGACGCGGCCTCAGCATGGCCAGAGAAGCGGTGCGTCGGTGCGCGCCCGGGATCCGAACCCGGGCCGCCAGTAGCGGAGCGCGCGCACTTAACGGCTAAGCCACGGGGCCGGCCCTACTATTATTCTTTAAAACAAAGACAAAGACTTCCCACCCAGTGCAGAGGTCTCCAGCAGGAAGGTGCCCTGCTCGCACCTCTTCCCCACTCACTGTGGCTAGCCCTTCAGCAAGTCTCACTGGCTCCACCTTCATTGTATAACCTGAATCCAACAGCTTCTCACTACCCAGCAGCTGCCACACTCATTCCTGGCCTAGATGTTCAACAGCCTCCTACCCGTCTCCTTGTTTCTACCTGTACCCCCTCCAACTCCTGCTGCCCAGCAGTTGTGGTTCCTTAAAAACCCAAACCAGGTAGTTGACACGTTCCAAGCACTTGCCATGTGCCAGACACCATGATAAGCAGTTCACTCACTAGCTCAGTTGATCCTTTAACAACCCTGGGAATTAGGTACTAGTAGAATCTCCACTTTACAGATGCCAAACTGAGGCATAGAGCGTTCAATCATTTCCCCCAGGTCCACGTTGTGAAATGGCAGAGCTGGGATCCAGTCCAGATGGAGCGCATGCTCCCAGCCGCCTCCCTGCATTGCCTCCCTCACAGCGTGTCTGTGCTCCCCTCTCCCTCGGGTGAAATCAGAGCTGACTACTCAGGCTACAAGGCCCCACGTGATGTGGCCCTGCCTGCCTCTCCAGCCTTATCCTGCACCTCCCTCCTTCTCACCCACCACTCCCCAGCCCCACTGGCTCCCTGGCTGCTCCACCGTCTGGAACTTTCTTTCCCTGATTCTCAAATGGCTTGTTCTCTACTTCACTCAGGTCTCTGCTTGAATGTCACCTCCTCCAAAAGGGCTTCCCCAACCACCCTTTCTAAAATAGTCCCCACTTTACTCTCTGACCCTTTCCTGCTGTAATTTTATTCTTAGATCTTATCACTTCCTGATATGACATCATAAGGTTATTTGTTTGAATGTTAATTATCTGTCTCCTCTCTCTAGAATTTGTGCTCCATGAGGGCAGGAACTTTGTCCCCATTGCCTAGAATGGAGCTGGCATGGAACGGTAGGGCAGTAAATGAATAACTGCACCCAAGGCAGCCTGTGAGGATGTTGGGCTGATCCAGTACCAGGTCTAGGTCTGCTGTGCAGGGCTGCTAGGAACGTGTTTGCTCCCTCTGCACAGGATGGTGCTTCTGCCCTCTGGGTCAGTGGTTGGCCCCATCCTTCTTTTTGGGGCCCCTGGACTAGCAGGGTCGAAGGTGAAGGGAGATCTTCCATACTTCTTCCCAGTTTCTCCCTCTCTGGCCGGCCCTCCGTCCATCCCTCCAGCCCCAGAGCTTTCACCTCTCCAGCCACCTGGAAGGTGGTCTGACAAATCCCTTCCCACCAAGGTGATCAAGACGTGAAGTGTTGCCCTTCCCAAGGATATCTGCATTTTAAACAAGGCCAGGCAGGAGCAACACTTCACCCCAATGGGTGGCTGTGTCATGGTGTGACTTCTGACACCAGGAGGTTGGAGGGAGATACCGCCTTTCCCCGCTCCCAAGCCCTGGGAGACAAGACATAACAGGCAAGAGCATTGAGGGGAAGACGGGTCCAAGCTCACCCAGTAGTCAGAGACTGGGACCTGGCAGACCCCAGTCTCAAATGTCACAGCTACCCCCATCCCACTCGACCCACCTCTTCCTTTCCTGCCACCCAGAAGGCCTGGCTTTATTCCCACAATCATGCCCAAGCCATCTTCGGGCTCTGCTTTGGGGAATCCCTCCAGAGGCTCCCCAGGGAACCCAGAACAAAGGCCTTACCCATTTCAATCCCGCAGATGGCCAGGGCCGCGATCACAGCACCTGCTGATGTCCCGGCAAAGCGATGGGCCGTTTCCAGCATCCGGGGGGCCAGGTCCCGAAGGGCGTCCACAGCCCCGGCCTGGTAGAAGGAGAGGAATCCACTGCCCGAGAAGGAGATGGAATGAGGGGTGTCCGGGTCCCCTTTGAACACCTGTTCTTCCATCTTCTCAGCCTGGGGCCTCCCGTCGGGGGAGGAACTACTCCTCAGCGCTTGCCTCCCTGAGCTTGGCTGCCCTCCTGTTGGAACTCGCGGCCACGCTTCCCTGCCAGCCTGGAGCCTGGAATGTGGCTGTCTCTCCCCAGTCGGCTGGGACACCCACAGGTGGTTCAGGCAGCTGCCGCCTGGCCCTGTTGAGCTCCGCCAGGAGGCAGCCCCAAAGGCCCAGGACGAGGTGCAGAAGGCCCCCGAGATGTGTGCACAGCGTCCTGGTCCTGTGAGCAACCCCCTGGCTTCATTGCATGGCTAGAGCCATCTCCCGCCCAGACTCAGCCCTCTGCCCATGCTGGGTGCACCTGGGAGCTGCCAAGCAGGGCCAGCCCAAACAGGCGGCGCTGCTCAGCCCTCAGCCCGGAGGCTTCACACATCGAGTTGCGAAACCTCCGATGGTTATCAGAGGGTGTCTCCCTCCCTGACACGCTGTGGCAGTAAAGGAATTAAATGCCCGCCTCCCTCCAGGAGGACGGGGTCCCCTCCCCGCAGGGGCAGGACTGCCAAGTTGGCTCTGGTTTTCGAGGTGGACACACTCACACCGCATGCCCCCCACAGCGACACCCTCCCTGGGCTCCTTCTCCAGGTCCCGTGTGGTATGTGCGATGTGTTAGACAATTATTGTTATTTGTTCTCCTTGCATAAGTGCCCCCTTTGCTTATTCACTTGTTTGTTCAGACGTTAGGACTGGCCACGGGCAAAACTGTACAGGAAGGGCAGTTTGGCTTCAGAGGCCCCACCGACCACCACCTCTCCACCTCCCACCGCCTTTTCTCCCCGGCCCTTCACTGACCCACGACCCTTAGTAGCGCCCTCTCACCCAACTCCAAACCTTCACGCTGTCTCCTAAGTGTCTCAGAAGAAATCAGTCTGAAATCTAGATCATTCTAAGTGTTTGGGGCTTCATATCGTACGCTGCTCTCCCCGCTTTGAAATGAGAAGTTTGAGATGGCAATATTTAACCCCAAGGATGAACAGCTTGGGGAGCCAGATATGGGGGTACCGGGCTCAGGGCAGAGAGACGTTTTGGAGCCCAAAGGGTAAGGGATGTGGCGTGGGGGACCAGGGTTAGCTCCAGGGGGCACTGGTCATGCCCCCTCTAGAGCTGTGCAATGTGGCCCTGGCAAGGAGGGTCTTCCTCACAGCCCGCAAATTTCAACACCTGAGGATGTCACAAAGCAGCGAAGTGGCAAGATCGCGTCTCTCCCTCCACATCCCCCCCGAGCATACAGAGGCAGGAACAGAAGTAGAATCGAGACACCAAGTTCTCTGCCCAATGCCCAGTCCAGCTCCATACTCTGTTAGCACGTGCCATCAATGCCGAACCCTCCCAGGGAGCTCCCGCCAACTCTGCAGGCCTCGCTGATCCATGTTGGAGTTCTACAATGAGGGCAACGTCCAGTATTCAGTGAGGAGGCAGTTTTCTGTCTTGGGCAGGTAGTTCCAGGTATATAATTGCCTGCTTTGGGGAAGGGAGTTTTGATTAAATGTGTGTGCAACAGAGAAAATGTGTGTGTGTTGTGTATGTGTGTATGGTTGGGTGTACAGAGATACGAGGTGACCGACTGCTGGGGTCAAGGGTGGGGTGTGACACGGTGGAGTCCAATCAGCCTGTGGAACACGAGAGCCTGCCTCCTTCCTGGGAAATCAGGTCAGCTCCACTGAGTATTTGCATGCCCAGCTCTGTGTCAGGCGCCCTGGGAGATGGGAGCGAGTTGGAAGCTCCATCCCCTAACTCAGATGCTTTCACTTCTTGGGAACAAGACAGACAAATGTGAAATAACCAGAGGACCATACTGGGCAGTCTATAATTAAGTACCAAATTGTGCAGGGCTAAGATTCCTGCCAGAAAAGTTAAGAGATGGAGGTGAGCAGCGTGGGCTGGAACCATCAGAGAAGCCGTGTGGTGGAACTGTGGGTTGGAGGATTTGAAGAAGCTGGAAGGAAGAGGGAGGGTATTGCGGCAAGGAACAACACAAGCTCCTTGCAGGGAAGGGAATAGGTGTGATCGTGGGCAGTTACACAGGATGAAGGTCTTTGGATCAGACAGACATGAGTTGAATCCCAGCTTTGCTCTTCATAGGCAGCGTGACATGTGTAACCTCTTAGGGCCTCAGTTTTCCTCATCTGTAAAAGGGACAATAATGCCTCTGCTGCACAGTAGCCGTAAAGGTTAAAGATATGGCTGTAAAATGCCTGGCACGTGGTATGTCTATTATTATCAAAAGGCAGTAAGGGCCAACTCTTGGACCTGGGTAATAAGATGGAATAGAAAGGTGGAGTTGGAAGAGGAAGATGTAATCCCTTTGTGACATGCAGGAGGAGCTGAGAGAGTTCCCAGGCAGGAGAGTCTTGGAGGGGCAATGAGACCAGGTTGGAGGACGAGGAAGGAAGATGGTGCTGCATCCTCCTAGGGATGCTGGCAGCCAGGCCAGGGCAGCGACTGAAAGAAGACGAGTTAGTGAAGCCATTGCCGCAGAGAGTGTCAGGACCAGGGGACTGGTTGGATGGGCAGAATGAGTCATGGCTGATGGGTGCTGGGAGGGGTGGGGCCGCCTTTGGCAGACTTGGGGAAACTGGGTGGACGACGAGTTTTCTTTAAGATGTGTCTGAGATGACAGCAAGACATTGGAGCTAGTGGGGGAGGAGGGTCAGGGAAGGCTCCAGAAAGGGGTACAAGAGACCCTTGCCATTGAGGCAGCAGAGAAGGATAAGCAGTTGGAGGTGGGCACATGTTGAAGGAAGAAAATCTTGGACAAGTATTCTCCTTCCGGGTCATCTCGCTTTTCCCAGTGAAATAGGAAGCAAGGCCGCTGCTGTGGGGGCTCCAGAGAGCCGGGGGTCCACTATCCTCTCCAAGACAGTGCCTTGTCCTGACGTGGCCCCGGCAGCCCCACTCCTCGGGCCTGGTGTTGGATGAGGCCGCAGTCTTCACTGAGTGAACATATTCTTCAGTTCCCTGGGGATGGTGGAGACCACGGCAGGTGCAGCACAGCCTCTATGCAAACAGGCAAACTAGCAATGCACAATCGTGCACGGGAAGGCCCCATCGGAGCTGTTAACATGTTCACAAAGTGCTGACTCGGGCAGAGGGACGAGGGCTGGTGGGCCGCATGGCTCGCCCGTCCCATGCCTCGATGTGAAATGATTGAAAAAGTTCATCTCCTCTCCCCTTGTTCCTGACATTATACTTGAAGCCCTAAGAACTTCAAGTGGACGACATCAAGAAGGGATCCCATTCCAACACTTCTGCATTTGATTTTTAAAGTCGGCTTGCAATCCTCTCGGGTGTTTTAAACTAAGTCAACACTGCTCATATGACTCACCAGCCCCTGAGGAAATCATACGCAAGAAACTGAGACTGCTTATCACACTCAATTCCAACAAGACAACCCAAAGTAAATTTATAGAAGAACGTGGAGTTTCCATAAGTATTAGATATGTGAAGCCACCCAGGACACGGCTCTCAGGGAGAAGGAAGGTATCTAGATTCTGGGTTAGCCTTTCATAGACGGTGTACCCTGAAATCTTGTAAAATGTTTATTTAGTGAAGAACCTCGTTGTTTTGATGAGAGTATGAAGGTTACAGCATCGCTGGTGAATAATCTTGCCAACGTGTTTAACCTGAATCTGATTGAGGCCTAACGTCCAGTTTACAGTGAATACAGGGCATGACAGAATGAGTTAAATGACGCCAGGTGAAAACAACCAGACAAATTGAAATAGTGGTAAGAGCTGGTAGATGCTGTTGTTGCTACACAGCAGCCATTCCCAGCCCACTTGCTCCTCACCCACGTCCCTTTACAGCAGCTGACAGGCCAGATACTTGATTTCCCAGCCTCCCTTGCAGCTAGAGACGACCATGAGGCCCAGTTCTGGCCAATGAGAAGTAAGGGGAAATCTGCTGGGTGGCTTCTAAGAAAGATTTTCCTCCTTGATAAAAGGAGGAAGGTTCAGGAGGAGAGCCCCTTTCACTCCACCCCTTTTCTTCCTGCCTGAGATGTTGTCCTGTGAGAACATGCTGTTTGGAGCTATGGCGGCCACCTGGCATCCAACAGGGGAAACATGGCAGACCCACTGAGTGGATTAGTTATCTATTGCTGTGTCACAAATTACCTCAAAACTTAATACCTTAAAATAACAAACATGATTTCATACAGTTTCTGAGGATTAGGAACCCAGAAATGGCTTAGCTGGGTGGTCCTGGCTCAGGGTCTCTCTTGAGGTTGTAGTCAAGCTGATAGCCAGTGCTACTGTCACCTCAAGGGTCATCTCAAGGGTTGGGATAGAAGAACCCACTTCCAAACACACTCTCATGGTTGCTATAGGCAGCAGTTCTTAGTTGGCTATTGATAGAAAGCTTCAGTGCCTCACCACAGGGGCCTCTCCATTGGGCTGCTCACAAGATGACAGCTTGCGGGCTGGCCCAGTGGCATAGCAGTTAAGTTCACACATTCCGCTTCGGTGTCTTGGGGTTCACTGGTTTGGATCCTGGGCACAGACCTACTCACCGCTCATTAAGCCACGCTGAGGCAGCGTCCCACATAGAAGAGCTACAACTCTACAACTATGATATACAACTATGTACTGGGGCTTTGGGGAGAAAAAAGCAAAAAAAAAAAAAAGGAAGATTGGCAACAGATGTTAGCACAGGGCCAATCTTCCTCAAAACAAAACAAAACAAACAAAACAACAATAATAACAAAAAAATGACAGCTTGCTTTTCCCAGAGAGAGACATGCAAGGGGGAGGGAGAGAGACAGAACAAGAGAGAATGTGAACCCAAGATGGAGGCCATAATCTTTCTATAACTTAATATCAGAAGTGATACCATCCCTTCTGCCATATTCTATTGGCCACACAGACCAACTCTGGTAAAATGTGGGAGGGGTGTGAGTACCAGAAGGTGGGAATTATTAAGGGCCAATTCGGAGGCCGGCTACCACACTGAGGATAGCAGAGGAGAAAGAACGAGCAAGCCTAAGTCCTTGAGATTGCTGAGTGACTGTACCAACCCTCAAACCATTTGTACCCTTCCTGTTGTGTCAGATAATCGAGGTCTTTATAGTTTAAGCCACTGTTCATTTGATATTTTCTCCTGAAAACCTCATGACTAATGCAAGGACTACTAAATATTTCTAGTAAAATGTAGAAATATCATCTTGAGAAGAACAAATAAGGTATGCCCTTTGCTTTTAGTAAAAACGAAAGGAAACCTCAAGGTATAGTTTGTTATTATGGGTGAAATAATCCTGATTCATGAAAATTCTGAAAAATTTAATCTAAAAATTTCAGAAAATTTTATTATACCTTTTAGAAATTGTTTATGACCCATTACTTTTATTAGAAGAAACA